CCAAGATTTTGAAAACTTCGATCAATCAATAACCTTGAAATTATGCTCTGTATTTTACTGTCCTCGTCAATGTTTCAGGGTGTAGAGATTGTAGGTACTATACCTGGAATGTTACAGTTTAGATGCCTGTATATGCATGATGATACTGAAATAACCGTGAACAATTGTTTACCGATAAAGGTCACTGTTTTTTTATCAGTACACAACCTAAAACATTTTACATGGACTAAACACGCCACATTACAACACTCAACACGTGATATATTGCCGTAATAATAGCATGCCTAATTAATTTTACACTTATCCACAATGAAAGTTAATTACAACTGAATCTTGAATAAACAAATCCAGAGTTGAATGAGATATTTCTATTTTAAATAGAGCTATAATTGAGAGGTAGTTTTGTATACGTAGTTAAATAATTCACCATCAGCTATATCATTATGGAGACATCCCCCTAAAAAGTCTTAAGCGATTCTCATCACTGGTGATGGAGAAAATATGATATACATAATGTTTTAATCCAATACATTGTTAACCATTCAATTAACCCTGTACAATTTTCATTATTACATATATAAACACCATTACTTAGTCATATCTACTACCTACTATATATTCTCAGTTTTTGACTTAGTATACGCTTCAGAATTTTGTAGTATCGTAGGAAAAATAGATATTATATATTTTGTTTCAGAACATAATTTGCCCGATTTCCATAAGAAAGTCTTGGATTTTATTTTTTTCTGTTAAGCCGAATTCGAAAAAAAAAAAATAAATAAAGATAACTTATTTATCCATGTCCGTTTCAACATGTTGTCGGCCTAATATTTTCGTTCTTTTTTTTACATGGAGTGGATACTGTTATTGTTACACTAAAATTGATGTTACCTAACAGTAGGTGAAGTGCTAAGTCAGCTAAGCTTCAAACTGTTTGGTATTACATAAATCTAATTACATTTGTATCATTTAATGGATAAGTTCGTTACATGTGTATCTTCATCGTCCAATCCCACACTTAGACATCCAAGTTCATGGCCTTTTAATGGATAATTTCGTTACACGTATAAATTCATCGTCCAATCCCACACTTAGACATCCAAGTTCATGGTCCTTTATTGTTGAATAATTCAATTTATCAAATTTTCTGATTTATTGAAATGCTGGTGACATAAAGCAAGATATTTTCCTATCATATGTTTACACCTTATCTGCAGGTCCACCTCTCCTCCAATCACACCAATACATCTCCCGTGTAACAAGTACTTCCTTATTACAGCCCACTGTTTACACGTAACAATATACATCGAGGTTTTCATCCAAAAACCGGACAATCAGGAGAGAAGCACGTGATTAGCTCTTGTTTACGATATAACCGCTATATATCTCAATATGAAAGGAGGAAAATGGGACTTCTAAACAAAGGTCTGACTAAGTTAAGGATAATAGCGGAAAGCACTTGATGATAAATTATTGTTAATTTAAAGCGTATTCATAAAGAATATAAGAAATAGAATATAAAATAGACAGAATGATTACTTTTAAGTCATTTAATCAGACATCAAATATTTCAAGGAAGAATTGGCTGTAAATAATGCAGATTATTTAATTTGAAATTCAAAGCATTACTTTAAGGAAATATTTTAAAACATTATCTAACAATAAATCATCTAACAAGAGAAAAGAACGTGCACTTCAGTCAAGGACATGCTAGGACTGATATAGGTAATCATTTCACTTGATGTTTGGGGATAATAAATTCTCGGATGACCCTGACGAGAGGGCTTTATGGAATAGAAGTCAAATAAATCTCTTTATCTCTGATATCGATTTCAAATCACGAATGGCATGGTGTGAAATTAGCCTGAGAAACCCCTGCTGGCAAAACATCTATAAAACTGGGTCTGATACACGTTTGTATGGAGTATTATGTAAAGCTTTAATGGGACGGCTGTCGGTGGCCAATAAAGGACGGAACTCCGACAGGTAAATACCACAGGTAGGCAGTAGACTGTTCTTCATTTACAAGTGTTTAATATACATTTTATATCAGATTATGTCATCTGGGTCTCCACGCAACTTCGGAGGTACGCTTTCTTTATAACAAAGCGAGATGTTCAGCGTTATTGATGCAACACGTTTCCGTCAGTAAAATCAAGCTGTAGGTAACTATAAATACTTGCACCTTCATCACAGGTTTTTGTACAGATGTACGATATAATGTGTGTATACTGTGTTATGTACCTTCATCACAGGTTTTTGTACAGATGTACGATATAATGTGTTTATACTGTGTTATGTACCTTCATCACAGGTTTTTGTACAGATGTACGATATAATGTGTGTATACTGTGTTATGTACCTTCATCACAGGTTTTTGTACAGATGTACGATATAATGTGTATATACTGTGTTATGTACCTTCATCACAGGTTTTTGTACAGATGTACGATATAATGTGTGTATACTGTGTTATGTACCTTCATCACAGGTTTTTGTACAGATGTACGATATAATGTGTTTATAATGTGTTATGTGCCTTCATCACATACTGTGTTACATCACAGGTTTTTGTTAAATATAATGTGTATATACTGTGTTAACTTCATCACAGATGTACGATATAATGTGTGTATACTGTGTTATGTACCTTAATCACAGGTTTTTGTACAGATGTACGATATAATGTGTGTATACTGTGTTATGTACCTTCATCACAGGTTTTTGTACAGTGTGGATGTACGATATAATGTGTGTATACTGTGTTATGTACCTTCATCACAGGTTTTTGTACAGATGTACGATATAATGTGTTTATAATGTGTTATGTGCCTTCATCACAGGTTCTTGTACAGATGTACGATATAATGTGTTTATACTGTGTTATGTACCTTCATCACAGCTTTTTGTACAGATGTACGATATAATGTGTTTATAATGTGTTATGTACATGCATGCATATTTTATAGAACGCGTGTTTCTATTCATAAATCAACTTGCCTAACACATGCACACACACACACCTAACATAACATATAAGTGAACATCATTAGTACATTTGATATCATATTTTGATACGCTATAACAATACTCCACAAAGAAACACTTCTCTCTCTTTAGGTTTACTGTAAGGAGCGTGAACCAAATGTCTCGGTCTGGAAAAAAGTGTTCTTTGTCAAACACGCACACATTAGACATTGCTATTAAATTGTTTCTGTCAGTATCTAGAAAGTCCAGATAACAAACATAAAATATTCGGTACATGATTAAGGGGGACGTTTTTCATGTTAATACGGTGCCAATGTTAACACTTCAATATCTATACATAGATTTACTGGCTTTTTACAGACTGTAAGTGTAGTGACTTACTTCGAAGTCTTCACCTCATCACATTTCTGTTCCATTCTCGGCTACCCCATGACTAGGAAACTTAGTAACTCATAACAAATTCAATATTCTGAATGACCTAATTTCAACAATGTATCACTATACATTGGAACTGGCTTACTATAGAAACACATATATGATACCTATATAATATACCAGTATGTCAATAACACTGTACTGGTATATCGAATATTTCTCCTGTACAACACGAGATAAATAGACATTGTATCATCCAATCTCCTAACGGAGGACTCATTCTCTAGATATAAGTTGGTAACAAAAACGTTCCCATTTACCCAGCTAGGTAGACTGGACCTAATTACCTAGTAATAATGAGGTATTCATTTCATTAGCAAAGAATGACCAATGACAGTATATGAGATAATTCTACCATCTAGCTCATGCACCGGCATCTCGTAATATAAGTACAGTAATACGTTATCTGTTAGCAAACGGACAGCCTTCTGACCCCGGTTGCTTTAAGGTTAGTTAAGATTAAACTAGCGGCTTGCGAAAAATTCAAGTGTTGCCATAGAAAATACTAGAGCGTTATAGAAAAAATTAAAATTAAAAATATATCAAACTGACCTGTCCCAACAAATCGACAGCTATGAAATGATAAAGAATGTTCCCAATTTAGTTTAATTTGTGCTTGACAAATTTTTGCTAACCCTTGGTTATCTCTAACCAACCTTTAAACAAGCGGAGCCTGGGTATTTTTTTTTCGGATTACACTAGGACGACATTGTAGAAGCACATCCCACTGATAATGAAAAAAATCGTTATGTAGTATCATAGGACATCATGTGTGTTCCGATGGCATTGTTCTTATTATCGGAAAGCCTCTAATAACAAATCGATTACTTTGTAGAAGTGAAGTCTACAGTTCAGTTCCCTAATTCCCTAATCATTTCCGGTTACAAATGAACCTATCGTCTGCTGTACTGACATAAATTCGATAGTATTTCCAACCCAGCAGCGACTCTAATGTACAAAACCTAGGCAGGTAGGCGGATGTGAAGAAACATTCTATGTTGTTGACATACAATCTGTATATAGGTCTGTTGTTACGTCCATTGTTAAAGCAAACCTATTTCTATAGATACAATGTTTAAACTACACTGGTTGGATATTGTTATAATCAATTTGTAACCAAACAAACGGTTCGACGATGCTGCTGACATTATGTATCAGCTCTAATGTCAGCCATTGACCCGTGTGACATGACAAAGCATTGCTGTCCATTTTCCTAACCTAACACGTATACTTGCTTCAGAACGAACATTGTATACCTTTTTATTTCAGATTTAAGACCGAAGAAGACTTGTATTAAACACTTATAAGTTTCCAATATTTTTCTATAAAACACTTGCTTCACTTTTCAATGATCAGGAAGTTAACATTCTTATGGTGATCAAAATGCAGTGTTTTTTTTCGATTTTCGTATTTTGAACCTGCAAATTTGTTGTCGGCTAAAAAGTACTCTTAGTGAACGGAATACATATTTTAATAAACATGATTTATATTTGATTATATTAGTTTGATCATCTGTTTACAGGCTGATTGGGAGGAGATCATATTGTTAGGGAAAGGAGAGTTCCTCAGCTGTGACAATGAGGAAACCACACTTCTCAGACGACAAGGAAAATGTACATAATCCAGGTACAAGGCACACCTGTGGTGACAGGAAAAAATCTGAAACAAGTAATACAGACTCTAATGAACAGTGTGTGAAGGAGATCGTGTGTAAAGATGTCTACCTGATGGACAAGACAGGAGGACGATTCGACAAGAACCTTCTGGCCAACAGTCTTACGGCCAAACTTAAACAAAACATCCCAGGCGAGTTTACCACCAAGAGACATGTGATGCACAAACTCCGCCGGGAAGGCTTGAAAGATTATGTTCACTTAGAAAATCTCAACAAAAAATACGATAGCGAAATGCAAGTGCAAACGAACAAGCTTGACAATGAGAGCAATCTTTTGCTTCGTAGACACGAAAAGATGCGGAAACAAAGTGAATATCAAAGGAAAAATCAGGAAAAAATTCGGTCTCAAATCAGGAATCCTTCTTTGAAACAGGGAGATGCTGCTTCGTCCGTATTTCCTCAAATCAAATATTTTTCCCAGGCACATGCGGCTTCGCATCCTCCCGATGACGCCACCGTTGAAGTGCATCCTTCACACCAGTTAGAGACAGCAGCGTTTCCGTCGTTTTCAGTTGACACACACGATCCAACAAATGTTAAAGTTTTCAAATATCAAGGAATATTTCAACCACAGAACAAATATTCCAGTAGACGTACCAGTGTCAGATCGTCTGGATCCGGAGGGATATTAAAAAGAGATATGAATACTCCAGAATATGAAGTCCTTACTCTCTCCTTGGAGGACGGTACAGAGAGTAGGGCGTCAAGTAAAAATCGAGGCGACAAGAAGCGAAAGGGACTTCGTGTGACTTGGAGTGGAGTTGAAAGAGAATTTGAAAAGGGGCGGCAAAATCAGGATGATTTGCCTTGCCATGACAATAGCAGTCGCGGTGACGATGTCGCGTCTACAACTAGTACTACAAAAAGTAGTGGTTACGGAATACATTATAGACAAAGCAAACGAAATAAGATCGAAAACATTGGTATCAAGTGGAAACTGCCACCAGGATCAAAACAATCCAACCGCGCTGTTAAATCGGCTACAGCCACATATACTGCGTCTTCACGTTCTAGAAATCTTATGCCAGTGTCGGGCGGTCTTCAACAGACAGGAATGTCAGTGACTCGCACACGATGGCACGTTCCCTCTGCGCCTCCATTGTCATCGTATGATCTATACAGGGAATGGCTTTATAAGCTCGACAAGCTGAAATCGCCCATGGAACCTAAGGAATTCCTAAAGGAAGTGCCTGCTATGGACAATAAAATAGACAGCTGTAGTCCTGCTTACACCCTACCTGCCAATATCTCAGAGCAAATGAACTTGTCCATATACGCCGCGTCCAACGTTGTGTAGACGGGATCATTATAGTATATATATGTAACTTTTAAGTATTATGCGAATTAACAGGTCTCTATCAGCAGATATTTATGTGACGTGCTAAGCACTTTGTATTCACGATGAAAATATTTGTAGGTGTAACACAGTGAGATATGTCAAGCTAATTCAAATTTCAATACATTTCAAATAAGAAACATCACAAACCACTCTCTATTAGATTGATTATTAACGTTTATCAAACGTTACTTTTTTAGTAATACGAATTTTACAACAGTAAGACTGATCATTTTGTAGAGAGAGAAAAAAATTGTGTTTTACAATTTACAGTCATGGTGGTAAATTATATCAAATATATTAAACCAAGTAAGCATCATGTCTTATATTTGTACGATAAAAAGGATGATATATGAATAAAAGAAAGATTTACACGGAGGCGCATGTAAAAGTTCAGGAAGAAAAATACCAGGTGTTCTGGAACAATCAGCGTCTTCTGCTTCATGAATTACACCCGCAATGTAAATCTTGGTCAATACAAGTAAGTAATGTCACTTTCTCAAATGAGAACAAAGTGAACAAAAATAACTTTAAACTTGTTCACTAAATAAATATCCTTCCAACTTTGTACAATAATTGAGACACGTTAATAAAGAAGACACAACGTGAGTTAAACTTGTAAGATGATATGGTCATATCAAGATATTAGCAGTAATACTTACACCACGTTCCAATGCACAAATTACTCAAAAGGCATATACAAAAATGTGTGTTTTACCTTAGACGTATAGAGGTTCATTACTACCAGCTATGCACATATTTATGTTACGTACAATTTGACGGTATTTCAATTACTTTAATTGGGAAGAAAAGAAATGTATCCTCATCTTTTTCAATATGTCATTGCATATCTCGCTATTTGGTTAATTTAGTTTGTTTATCAAGAAGTTATGAAGTGCGTTAAATAAAAGTTTGTACTAACATGTCTTGATTATGCTACAGTATTATGTAACAATAGCACTGACCAGTTATAAACCAAATGACATCGTATTACGACCATCTTTTAGTTCGGACTGATCCGGCTCTATACTGAAGATTTAATACATTTATATAACGGTATACTGTATATTAGTTAAAACGACAATTTTATAATGGAGGATATAGGTGTGCTCAATAAATGCTGTATACGACACGGAGGTCATTAATTGTATGTAACGAGGGAAAAGAATAATACTTGTAATAAATATAGTGTTCAATTGTCAGTATGTTTGTTGTGTTGGTGTGTTGGTGGGTTAAGAAAGTGTAAACATACACACATACCGTACGTATAGCTGATATTTTTTCTTGTTTTAAAACGATCGAATTATGTTTTAACAAATTCAAATTTCTCGGTCTGATTGTTAAAGGACATCTTGTACACTTGTATCATTATTAGGATTCGATTTCCGCGATCACTTTACCGCGAAATAGCGAAAACATCGAAAATAACCGGTTATTTGGTATATATTACAGACATAAAGTAATTACTAGGGACATTAAATCTTCTATTTGCGTATGTATTCCTGTATGTATAATAGGGCGAGTCACAAAAGGCTGCCCCAGCTGTTTGTGGGAATCTATATTACCCTAGAATCCTGTGCCCTATCATCGGATATTAATTTAACCTATATTCATAAGTAATAAATTGGTGACACATTTTGAAGACTTCACCAGCTTACACAAACAATAGTATAGCAATGAAGTGTGGTGAGTTTTAAAGGTCAATATTGATACTCTACCACTTAGAACTACACGAATGTTACAATGTCTCACATGGCCTCAGTCTGAATTAATAAGTGGAGTTATCATGTAAATAAAACCAGGTGGCCATTCCGCCCTGAATTTCCAAATCTTTTCATTGCCTGTTGAGATATCCCATGCCTATTAGACATTAACATTTAGTCACGTTAACTCATACGTACACATGCATCAACATATATTTTCCAATATGAGATTTCCTAAATGAGTAAATAATCTGTTTTGCTCCAAATGTATTTTTCAAAATGTTTATTTGTAGATTTGTTGTATGTAACAGAGGCGATCTATCAAAGCTGTCAAAAATGCACATCTAAATGAACCTGCATTTTATTGTTTACCCGTTCAAGCTGAAATAAACCACAACATACATATATTATGGCGTTAACGGTGTGCTACTGATCTGTCGGGAGATGCCTATTAACTGTCACGCCTAGATTAGCATATACAAAGGTAGACTTGCATATGTAAATTTACACCAACGGATCATTTCCAAAAGATTTCAAGATAGAGAAAGTTCTGTTGACATTACAGAAGTCACATTAGGTAGACATGCAGGCATCACATGATCTGTGACAAGCCGGTTTATATGAATGTCACCTCGTTTTATTGATAACTTACCATGACGTTTACACCTGTAAGTCTTTCACCACAAGTTGACGTCAAATGATGTTAATTCACAGTAGTAGAGCATTACAAATACATGGAGAAAAGAAAGGAATGTATTAAAACAAAACGGAAAAGTGCGGAAAAAGCAACGGTAAAAGGTACTACAAACAGCATGGAAACAAGTCATTAAAAATACGGACATATCTAATTTACGAAGAAAAAAAACCGCATATCTATTTTGATCCTACAAAGTTACAATTTGTTTACCAATATATCGAAATAATTGTATCTCTTTTCTGAAACAGTTCCGTGCGTAGAATTGTATTATGTAAACATGTTGCTGTCTTATGTTTACAAATATACATAATTAATTGTGTCAAATTCAGAAGGGCTTGAACTTGGACAGGAGTTACGGCAAACCTCTCAGAGAATAACATTCCATAAAAATGTTGTTATGATATCTACATAAAGAAACAGAAATTGTCATGCTAAATGTTTGCAGCCTTAAACGTTTAGCAAATCGTCTTCAATTTATAACTTTTGGCATCATAATTCAGTGGGTTCGTTGAAATCAGTTGCAATGAACCACGCCAAGGGAAACAACTCGTATTTCATATGTTTGTTAAAAGAAGAGAAACAATGCATTCACTGATCAAGTTAGACTACAGAATATCTACAACGAAAATGTATCATAAAGTTACACAACTGTATCGCCGTATATCTGTGTGATTCCTCATACTGGAACAACCGTTACAGCATTGCTGTGGTGTATGATAAGTTCTCAAAGATATGCAGCTAGCTTTAAGTATATTGAGACGCATATATAAGGGAACACGTTTTCCCTTAAAACAATCTCGTCCGCGGAAAGACCGAAAGGTCGTAATAGTGAGCGTAAAAACCCGATAAATGAATCCTTTAAACGCTTTGCTTATTTTATGATTGTTTATCATTACAGGTAACGATAACGGTTATATGTGATTATAGAGCCTGTGACAGGGGCTACAATAACCCACAACATTTGTGTGCAGTATATACGAAGTCGCTACACAGAAATGTATGATGAACTTACCCTGTGGAGGAAGATATGAGCAACTCATACTGGATATAAAGTTACGTATGCTTTATACAACAACAAAAATAACAAGAAAAAGGAATTAGGGCGTCAGAATAGAACTTCTAAAAACACAACCAGTAGAAAGTAAGACTGTGACGTTTCGATGACTACACGGTCACCTTCATCAGAGTGGAGCGTACTAGCACTGACGTACGTAGTGCACGAGATCTACACGGACACCTTCATCAGACACTGGAGTGGAGCGTACTAGCACTGACGTACGTAGTGCACGAGATCTACACGGACACCTTCATCACACAAATGACTAGAGTGGAGCGTACTAACACTGACGTACGTAGTGCACGAGATCTACACGGACACCTTCATCACACACTAGAGTGGAGCGTACTAGCACTGACGTACGTAGTGTACGAGATCTACACGGACACCTTTATCAGACAAATGACCAGTGTGGAGTGCACTATCACTGACGTACGTAGTGTACGAGGTGGTACGGAATCGAACAACTTTTACGGCTGAACTATAATCCTATGTACACCAAGGTCGAAAATAATGTGACGAGATGGTAAACATATTATAGACTAAGATTCACAAGATGGTGCCAATGTACTGTGGTCAATTCGGCTACGCTATGTTCAGCATTTTGCCACAGATATGAAAGGCCTGTCAGCAAACATTCAGCTAATTTTCCTTTGCCATGGCATTGCAACAGTCATGAAGCCTTACAAGCCTACCAGAAATATCACAATTCGTCCTAAAAATTATAATAGCTCAAATTGTATTGACATTACCAACCTAAAATGTTCTAATATATATATATGGCGTGATATTTTTTATAGATTGTCCACGCTGACTATAGGTAAGGAAAGGTTGTTCGTCCATATGTTCCGAATAATCGGATGTCTGTATGAGTAAATGAAATCCCTAACAGATACTTTTATGGGAAGGTCACTTGTCATCCTGACAAGACAGTGATGATGAGCGAAGCAACGACAGTAATGTAACAAAATTGCATATATCAGTAACCATATTTTTGGGATAAAAGAAGTCCTGCCCAGCACGAGGTGAGTGCGAGTTAGAATGATATCTATTGTAAATTTAGTATATACATATTTAAAGTTTTTAAAATTCGTATTTGCTTTAATAATAACAGAAAAAAGCAATAACTTGCTGAAATAAGTGAGAAATTAACAGTTCCTTACATATGCGTTTCAATATATACATGTGTATATGTAAGCAACTTATTTTTGAGGCCTGTAATACTTCAAAAAATGGTCGATGAAAAATAACCGGAAAAGAAATCTTCTGTTTTACTGAAAATATAACGTCATATAAATTTTACAAGTTAGAGCAGTATATATTCAGACAATACAGTTAATTCAAAACTATCATATACATTGTATCGGTTAACTGAAAATCGATCGGGCTTAGTATGAGCAAGGTTACCTCCCTTTGTATATGGGCTCGTCTACTGAAAAGCCGAAAAGCCTTATAGTAGACGTAAAGATGGTAAATAAAATCAAAATTCGATTAATTCTGTGTGGATTAAGTAAATTGTATTTAATTTTATTGAGTAAAGTTCATTCTACTTGTAATATTGCATTATTAACGATGTGTGACCGTCATTTCCTACATTTATAAAAACTATGATGACGATTTTTCTTAACTAAAATACTACAATATAGCAAATTCCCTTGGTTTTCATAAAAAAGAATATTATAGAACAAAGACACAAGTGAATAACACATTTAAGTACAAATTAAACTTTAGATATTTGAAACATTTCGTGTAAGCATCTTGGTTACTTTCTCAAACATAAACCTGTTCATAGTAACTGATTTCAACAATACTGTATTTATGATACTTGAAAAATCAAGAATGATTTTTAAACTTCGTATCTTCCTGTACAAGTCGTTAACTAAAATGCAGCTATTCAACGATAAAAGAATATAATGTTTACAGATAACACAAGTGTTTGTTTGTATTGACAACATCTTCTCAGGAAGAATGGCTGGTCCTGTTGTTTTACGTAAAAACTAAAAAGGACAGAAAAATATATAAGCAATCATCATATCGACCAGACTGAATGTCCTAACACCATAAAACAAAAATTGTGTACAAATTCCAGACTCATAGAAATTAGTCATCTTTCTTTTCCGTCTCCTTTGATACCAATGCTAATTGATACTCACATTTTCGGCAAAGACAAGTACAATATTAAATATCATGGGCTGAAAGCTATACAACCGGCGTGCTTAATGGTAGCGCTGAAAATTCTCTTTAACATCAATGAACGAACAATGTCCAGCTAGACTGACAATGGAGATATAAAGATATGGAAGGATTAACTGCCAATGTTGTGGAAAAGAAAGACATCTTTCTACTCTTATTTCACTACGTATACGCTGAAGCGCCTGTCACTCGTTGATATATTAACAACAGCGCATCACAATAGGATTTGTGGACAGAAAACTAATAGCTGTAATTACCTCAGTACATTGTTCAGAATCTTGTCCAATATGATTGATTTATCGATTAATTGATTTATTGATTGATTCAGAGCGTCTTAAAGTTTTCATGTGTAGTAACTTTTTCCATTACCATGATTGAAAGGAAATGAAATGAATATATCTCAATGTTATGCCTGATGGTACTGATTCCAATGAAACAGGTTAATCTATGTTGTATATACAGTATATAGCTTGTTCCATCTCTAATACACTAGCTGTTATTAGCTACACAAGACCTTTAGAGTCCTGATTATAATATTTAAATGGCAGACAATGTGATCTAACAGGACATCAAGTTCATGTAGAAAATTGACCATCTGGCATATAGATTTATACCTGTATGGCATGTACAACTGTAACAAGTCTTATAATGATGTATAAGTAATGTTTAAACAATGACTCAGCTATGGTTTAATACCATAGTTTATTTGGCTTATAAACAATGCAATATGTCTGAGACAATGCAACACTGCTACGTAAGTTGCTTGTTCTATTGTTGGATATGCCTCCTGTAAACAATTTCAAATAAATCTGATTGGTCAATTCGCTGGCCCGTGAAAAGTCCATAGTCATACAGGAGAAGAGATTTAATGGCGTCGTAGACGAAAAACGCAGGGAATATTATGTGATCAAAACATAATCTTATTGAAACCATTTTAATAGAAAGTTCGTTTGAATTGATAAAATTAAGCACGAATATGAGTTCCATTGATGAACGGAAAATTTGGAAACATTGGGCTTACCTGAAGAATGAGCTACCCGCAGATGAAATTGTGGATGGAATGGTTGAGGCAGGAATCTTTGCACCAACCCAAGGGAGAGATATTCTTAGCGTTCAACCAAACACACGACAAATGAAAGCTGAAAAGTTTCTCAATAGTCTTATTAATGCTGGGGACAAAGGTTTTGAAACGTTTTGTAACATTATGAGACGGGACAACGAAAACCGATACAAAGCCATAATGGAAAGGCTAGAGATAGGAGAGAACGCAGGAGGATGTACTGGCGGGGGTGCTTCTGCCTCCAATGTCATTCACGTTCGACCTACAGGTTCAGGTGAGGACAAACGCCGTTCTATGATAGATATGCCAGTGTGAATTAGATATTGTACATACGACTAGCTTTTGAATGTTAAGGTACCTCAAACGGTAATAGAAGAATGTAAAAATATAACGATTTACAAAGTACAGCGAATTATTGCATTAGAAATCCGGTAATACAAATTAGTATGTCCAAACAGCATTATAACCCGTTTTGATATCATTGCTTGTCATATACTGTAAGTTAGCACAAGAAAATTAAACCACAGTTAGCGAAAGACATAAATATTTGACTTCTTTTTTCGTGTCCTTGTAATTTATCACATTGGAGAAAAATATGTAACTCAATATTGTCTATGTATAACTAATATTTGTTATCTAAAAAAAATTCTTTAATCTTTAACAAGACACGATTTTGCTTTTTTCACATATTTTCTTATCTTATATAATTTCATAACAGAGCATATGTAAAAGTGTTTTGAAAAGTTAATATGATGTATGATTTATAAATCTCTTTGTGACTTATCGAATGCTATGGTATATATATATTGTATTGTATGATATGTACCGGAACTTAATCAAGTATACATATTATAAGGGAAATATGTGGACACTAAAGGGAGCTAACCTGTACTCCAATATGATACAACAGATATTGATTTTCATATTCTCTCAAGTGCTGCCTAAGGACAGACATTAAGTCATTATTAAAATTACTAGCGAACCGTATACATCTACTTCATACTTGAAATGTTTTCCAAAATTAGAAAAGGAAACATCTGTTAACATCATAACATAGAAATGCTATACTAAGTAAAATATGTATTATGACAAAATATTTTTGTATTTTTTCAGCTACTCCTTTAGACAAAATCAGGCCAGATTCAGGCATGTCGGGATCTCAGAGGCCCATCTCCAGCATGTCTTCTTCTGTAAGTTGGTTCACAACCTTATCACGACCTTATTATTTGGTAAATGCAGATAAATCATGTGTAAGCATAGAACTAATAATTTTGAAATATTGTTAATAAATATTTTGTCTGTCATTTGTAAAAAATGAAATATGAATCAAAATAGGGTAGAATTTTTAAGATAACAAGTGTGATATTGAACGTTTGTTGAAAGGATCTGAGATCGCTAAGTTTTTAATGTGTGTAGATAAGTTTAAATTAACGTTATATTTACTTTACCACAGTATGGACTCAGATGCATAAACATATAACTTCATCGATTAAAAAGACAACTTTCCTTAATATTGATTACCTCTGACTTGATATTTTTATCTTAACTTTCTAATTTTGTCATTTATCCCATATATAACATAAATCTGTATGTAAACAAGTAAATATCAACAAGACAACATATTTGTTTCGCAAACGTTTTCGAGCTTGTTGTCTGTCTTCAGGCAATTTGTTTATTACTCGCCTAAAGGGATCCAACAGCTTCGAAAAAAATATTTTGTCCCGTTGATATTTCCTGTTTACATATTTAGACGATACAATGTTTTCTGGAGGTTATATTAGGTATACATATAACAGAAAAATGATTGGATTATGTTTATCAATATCAACACCTGGCAAGAATCGATATGAAATTATGATATGATTTGACACATAATTACTTTTTAAAATAAATCCCAATTTGCTCAAGTACCCTGTTAAAAGTTTTATAAGGCCTAATACATAAGTTTTTGTTTTTGCTAGGTTTTTGTAACAAACGTGTTATATGACCTATCAGACCAGTATTTTTCTGACGATTCCAAATGGTTCCATCGACACGTCATAGCATCATGATGTCATAAACATTGTGACACCAACAGGGAAAGACACATGTTTGCTTTCAATCTCATAAAAGTACTAAATGATACGATGAACAGAATCTTACATTCGTTTTTATTTCATATGAGATTATGAAACTTATCACGAATGTTTTTGTTTTACCTCTCCAGAGGCTCAGGATAATGGGGAGAAAAAATCTAAGATTGGTTTCATAAATCTCATATGAATAGAAATCCATGAAAGATCCACTATTGTGAAAATTATTACTGGAGATATGCAATAAAAGTGGTTTTTACTATCTCTCTCTTGTTTTATAGAGTGCCAGTACAGATATCAGTATGCCGAGCAGAGATGGCGAAACTGGTGAAAAGAACCAGAGAAGGGGTAAATCGGCGGCTCGGCGAGCATGGAGGTCCGAGTCATCCGCTAGCGAATCCTTCCCACCAACTAACCAAGTTCCTCCAAACAATGCTATTGCCCCGTATGGAGGGTTAGCTAGGGCACCAAGTACAGGTGAGGCGATTATTACACAATCAAGGAATTCAGATTACGATGGACGTTCGGATATAGCATCTGCTTCCGGAGGCCATTCCTCTGGAGGACCTGGGGCAGATAGTAATTCACAAGGATCATCTTCTGAAGCACCAGGTGTTGATATGAAAGCGCTAGAGCAGGAATTAGTCCGTATTGCACCGACTATTGCAGAACTTTTCCAAAAATTCGCTAAGACAACGTGCAAGGAACCTGTAAGTGAAGAGGAAATACAAAACGTTAAAGCCGAAAACGAGCGACTGAGAAAAACCAATCGTGCCCTCATTGAAAAACTGAACTCCTTCCAGCACAGGATTATTCAACTTCAGTTGGAAAACAAAAAACTCAGGGAAGAGGGTGAGGGTGTGATGGAGGCAAAAGATGAGCTAGACAGGAAAGAATTTGAACTGAAAGATCTAGAAAAGAGACTTGAAGAGCAAAAACAAGCACTGGAAGAGAAGGAGATGGAACTTAACAACCAGTTGATGAAAATACAGGATATCGAGAATGATATCGCCAGACAGAAGGAGCAGATAAAGAAATTGGAGACCCTTCACGAGGAGGGACAACTCGACAACGAACGACAACAAGAAGAAATCCTAATTCTTCGAGAAGACAAGAAGAAACAACAACAGCAGATACTGAAGTTGGAATTCAAACAGAGGGTGGGAGAGGAACGTCTCCAGAGCTTAGACGCTAGGATGAGGCAGCTAGAACAACCCAAAAGGAACTTCAGGAGGAGTGATCCTTCAAAGATCAAACCAAGACGACCATTAGGAATGTTTTACAACTGAGAAATCAGTCATTGCGATCATTGGGTTGTACAAAACATAATAAAAATCAACATCGATATTCAAATAGAATGTATCTTTATCAGAAACACTGATAATGTATCCATGATGTACAGACTGATATATACCTAAGTAAAGTGAGTGGAACTAACTAGCATGTTCTATCTGGAATCACCATTAATCGATGACCGACGAGAAAGAAGAAAAGTCGGTAGAAAGGCCATATGAAATGTAACATTTTAGCCTGTAAGACATGGTGATCACTATTATGTAATAGTGACTCTACAGACACCCGTGTTATATGCAGACAGTAATGAAAGGGATGTCTTCATCAGATCGGTTTGCATTGTAGGACCGACTTTTCTGAAGGTTCAATATATTGCTGTTTAATTTCAGCCTTTAAAGTGGTTCATTTTGCTGTATCTATACAATCATGTCACTTTGAAATCGTTAGAGTTATGTCATACGTTCATCAACTCTGCTGAAAGTAAAATAATATTTTATAAAAGACTGTAGCCAAGGAAAAATTCACCTTAACGTTGGCCTAACTCGTCAAAAGTGAAAAGTGGGCTGAAGTTTGATATTGAAGCAGAACTATACATCTTTATGTATCGTAATGGCGAACACTTGACATAATCAACAGATTTATGTGAAGGCGGACCAGCACTTGGGTCAATGTTCTTTAATATACCATGGTCGACTCTGAACCAAGTGGATTCCTTTGTTTTGTAAGAACTTCAATCTTAGTTCTTCATTTTCATCGCAAACATTATTTTGAATTTATATGATACGTTGTATGTTTTTAGTTAATGTGTTGAGTGCACATCCACATAATTAAGTTAACAATGATTATTGTCACGTAACTGTTTTCTATTTACTGATCATCAACTGAAACGTTTATTATCATCAAGCCACATTCGTCCTCAACGAAGGGGCTTTCGTCACTTATACTGGTTGGGTTGATTGAATTATATTCTTAACGGGCTATCCACACAGGCGGGAATGTTAGTAGGGCCAATTCAAATTGAATCAAATTAAAACAATAATTGGCTATATATTTTTATATCTTGCAGTAGCTGATTTAAAGTGATTTCGTCTTATTTTCCATTTAATGGAGTTTAAAGTAAAATTGTATAATTTTAAAAGAACACATGGATTGACATTGGATGAAAATTCATGTAGTTAGATTACATTTGTATATATTGTACTAGACGATGATATGTTTAAAGGGTACATATCACTACTCGTTTCCTCTGTCTGTGATATATCCATGTTACCTTGTCTGACCTTCATTACATGGCTAACGTCTGCGAACGTGCTCCGGATGTTTGAAATGTGACAATTGCCCATTCATATACACACCTATATATATATGTATTTATCATGTACTTATTCCCCTGACCGAAATGTTTCATTTACCGAATTCTCTTTAAGTTTGCATGCGTTATAGTTTGAATGCGATTTGTTTACTGTTTTAGAAATGTTTTGAGACAAATAATGTCTGCTTTGTACCAATAAATGTTACATTCCTAACTTAATATTACAGAGATCTTGCGCTCATATCGTATAAACCAACTACCGCATTGTCTTTGTTTCTGAGTGTTTTATGTGCGTTCATTAGAGCATTTGTCCTTGTTAATTTATATAGAATGTTTTAACTACATATTAAACTGCGCTTGAGTACGAACATGTAAAGTTAATATAAATAAAACAAAAGATTTCTACATACAGGGTTGTGTATTTATTTATGTATCTGCGTTGTATCGAGAATTGGACCTAATCGAGCTGGAAAGAACACCTGTGCTCAGGGCACCAAATATCGAAATATCTGTAGAGATGTAGAGATGTTGATAGTGATTGCCTAATTTTATCATTTTTCATGCGCAATGTTTTCGAAATAGTTTTCAAATATAATTGACAACTTTGTCTTCCATTCATGGGTCATATGACATTAAGTGTTCCCTGTTTTGACTCAATATAATGTCTATATTCAATTAGAAAAAAACCTGTGTTATGTTTTATAAGTAATTGGAGAAAAAATGGTTGATATTCGGACATTTATTTCACTTTTACTGCTATCTAATAAATGACCTGTGAGTCAGTAATTTACACATAAATGAAAAAAAAAAATATTAAAAAATATCAAATTATTCGAATGAAAATCAATGGGTTTTTAATTTTCATTCAATAAATATTGTCATGATGTTATGATTGTGTAGATTGTACAAATTAAATATATGAATAATACAGGATTAATCGTCACACATTGCATGTCCTGAAAGTTCATACGAGAGCTCAGATGCTCCATAATTGACTAAACAGGTATTTTGTTCGCTCTGTAAAGGTCCATATGAGAAATACTTCGTATATTCAGAGTTATCTAACATATTAAACCTGTCAAAGCTCCATTAGATATTAAGATCAATTATTTAAGATACGCCAATAAACAATGTAGATTCAAGAATATGGAACGAACTCTGTGAACTGTTAAGGCGGTGATCAGTAATTTAGGACATTTCGTTACAATAACAAGATTAAACATATGATATACTTGGCAAAATGCAAATTAATGAAGCTTTGTATAGAAATGATATTCACCTGTAATACCCAGGATCAAAATGATTAATTCAGACAAGGTATCTGTAAAATAATGTGTTCGCCTTGGAGGACCTCTCCAGAAGGAAATATTTAAAGTACTGTATCTTTTAGGTTATTTTCAATTTTAAGTATTGTGTTGTTTTTTGTGGCATATTTCCACTGTTCTGTCCTTGCCTTCATACGAATAAATCTACACAAACGATTTTCGAATCAGATAAGAATATTTTCATTAAGTCCGGAAAGAATATTTTGTCAAGAAAAAAACAAAACAAAAACAAAACAAAACAAAAACTAAATACAACTTTAAAAATGTTTTTTCTCTCATTGTTATTGTGCTATTTCAATTAAACATTTCTTTTGAATACCGATGCCAAATTACACTCAGCAATATTTGTAATTACTCTGGATGTGAATAATGAAAACATTTTGATATTAAAAGATATGCATTATAAGGATATGGACCAAGCTTGTTCATACCCTATTTTTTTCAATATTAATCACGGGATAACATCGCTGGCCACGAGGCCTTGTTAAAGTTAGGAGCTTATCAGTCTTTGAACTAAAGAATGCTTGCAATTGAGATTCAAATGTTTCTGTCAGTAGTAACTTTCTTTAACTCCATGCGTGTTTAAAATGTCGATGAATTGATGCAAAAAATATAAGGAACATAGCAGAAATTACACCCGAAAATGTTCGCATCATACGGTCATATTGTTTGACAAAGACACGAGCAGGCATGATGCAAAACTTGCCTGAGCAAAGAAATAACTGTGATATCAGTAATTTAACACCACCAGCACGACGACTGCGTAAAACGCTAACAAATCGATTTGTCTGTGATTATAACGAAGACACTAATGCTATTGATTGTTGGTCTTGTGCTTTTGGTGTTTATTTCATAGCGAGAAATGGATACTTCGGAAATTTCGGTAAAGCATTTATAAGTTTGTCTTATCAGCCACAAAGGACTCGGGACCGCTCGAGAGATCTTTGGTTTTATGTATCACCATAGGGGTAAAGAAACAATGACGGTGTACCGGGGTCAAGGGTTGGATCACTGATTTTGAAGATACATTCAATTTAAACAATCTTTATTGTTTTGATGTCCAAATATAGTTTTTGAGGAGGACCTCATAGGGATATGTAAAACTATGAGTCTTGTATAATAGTCAGTTTATCTTCCCATTAAATTCATTATTAAAATAGAATTGTTCCTTTTTAACTTAATTGCGAATGATTTTGTAAATTTATGAAAACGTTCTTTTAAACTTTAGTGAAAACTAAGATCCATTATACTAACTACAAGCCTTGCGAGGTCCCCTCTATAAAATATGTGTTATTTTCAACTTACATGAACGTCACCTATATGAAGACGTTTGATTGGTTCCCATGTCGAGTATAGAGAAATGACCAGATCAGTCAACTGAGAGATAACGACACGGAAATTCATTCCATATGTGACCACAAAGAGAGCGAAAACAGCGAAGCCATTTCAAAATGGCGTCCAGCGGGGCTGGCATGGACCCTGAGGATGAAAGAAGGCTGATAAAAAATTGGACTTTAGTGAAAAACGAACTCATGGTGGACAAAATTCTTCAGGATTTTATAGACTCGAGGATTTTCTCGGAAAGTATTCAACGAGATATTAAAAATGTACAGCCGAACACTCGTCTGATGCGGGCAGACAAATTCCTTCATTCGTTGATAAAAACTGGGTGCCATGCTTATGAAAAATTCTGTGAGGTGTTGCGAAGTGACAGTAATAGGTACAAAGAGGTCATGGAAGTGCTGGAAATCAGTGATAGTTCGGATACCGGTAAGTAACTGTGGTGTTTGAAGCTACTAATTTCATCAGTAAATGTAATTTATTGATGTTTTCCTAAGTAAAGTACATGTGTTTAAGCTTTAGATGTACTGCATATGACTAATTCCAGGTCTACTTTAATAGCATATTGTCAAACTAGTCACACCTGGTATAACGTTCATTATGCTGGCAAAATAACCTACTAAATAATGAACGACAGAACGTGTGTTACCTCTATCAACATCGCAAACATATATCATAAACGAACCCAGTTATAAAATGCCCAGATTAGATATATTCCTCCACAGCTTCACAAATTTTCCGTAGTGAGGTGGAAAGTCGTTTATATCCCCTTGCATATTAAAAATAGTTTATTACAGTTGGGCTAAAATTCATTGCACAACCATACAACCAATACAACACAGACAGGCAAGACAAGGACCTCTTCCGTATGACTACATCATCATTTTCTATAGTTGAGGTACATCATATTAAAAGCATTTTGAAGATTGACGCTAACATTTAGGTAATAATAATGAAGAAGAGTCTTTATATGATTGTGGAAAAGACACACAAGTGACAAGTACCATGATAAATTGAG